TAAATAAATTCGTGTTTATTTCTTTCAGAGTTTACAACTTAAACTCCCTGTTAGCAAATAAGCTTTGTTATCCTAACAACGTAGTGTTTAGGCTTAACACCGGTGATCCAGATTAGTGATATGGTGCATATATACAATCAGAGGAGGCAAATCGCCGTACTTACATAATTGTAAGATTATTTCTGACACAATAAATATTCAGTTAATTTTTTAAGACACATAGCCAATCGGATTAATTGAATCGGCTAAGCAGTTACAAAGGGATTAGAAGTGGTTATAAATTTGCTAAAATCTGATATTAATAAACCGTTACCATCTGATGTTACCGATATTGATCTACCATTCAATCCGAAGAAGGGATTATGCGTGCCTATCGTTCTAAAAAATTAATCATGTATATTAAAATAGAAATAATGTATCGCAAGCATAGTCCCGATCTTTTATATTTATTTTTGCGTAGTAAGTCACGCCGTATTAATAAAAGATTTTTTTTTCCTTGGTAAAGTTGCTATCAGAAGTAACGTGTCGCATGAACTTTACCTCCAGCCCCAGAAAAACTATTTATCCACATGAAATTCTAATCGCTGTGATTTGCAAGGAAGATTAACGTAATGATGATATACGATACATAATGAATCGCTGATCTGAGGATTATTTTCTCCTGAGAATTCTAGCGCTATAAAAACGCCTTCGGTGAGAATTTAGTCCACATCACTTCTCGCATATTTTTTGTAGTAGATCATGTCCTTAACCAGTTTTAAGAATCTTGCCTTTAACATCCTAAAAAATCTCGAAGATGAAACCGTTAGAGACAAGGAAGTTCCGGAGCTGGGACCATGTTCGGTGTGTGATAACGAGATCTTGATACTTCCTATCAAGGCGTTCACGGTACTTAGCTGTGGACATGCGTACCATAGACTTTGCATTGAGAAGAATACATTTTTGAGAATAATTCAGCAAGTAAACTAATTTGCTGCGGAATACTATTGTAATGAAGTATAACTATTATATTTTATAGTTAAACTTTTACACACTGCGACCGGTGTGTGTCTATTCCCCGATTGTGGAAAAATTGTTGAGAAATTGTTGATGATTCTCCTGAAGTTGACAATAGGCGAGATTCTCAGTCTAGTACATCATCTGTGGTTGGCAGAACGGAAAAGCAACTCCAAATCGATATAACTGAAACGATTCCGGAAGAACCTGAACAAGAAATGGACATGGATGAAGGTGTTGATGGAGAGGAGGAAGAAACTCAGCCCAATGCCAGCAGTAAGAAGCGGGCTAATATATCTGTGGTAAACCTCCAGCAAGAAAGCGAAGCAGATTAAGGTTGAGAAAAACTTTATACGAGAACTGAGTATTGGAGCATCTAAAGTTTTGATCAGAGAAAAGGAGATGACAGCACTCGCATTTTTTTTAACTTATATTACCAATGCCGAAGCTGGTCGATTTCTAGGCACTTTTCCAGCAACTCCCTAATGATAAAATTCATATTATCGTATTCATTTGAAACATCATGTAATGTGATTTTTTCGTAATTTTTTATGTGTCAGTTGTTCCAGCAATGTTTTTTTTATCGGTCAATAAATTTATTCCAAGTAAATCGATGTTTTCTGGCTCAAGCCAATGAAAATATAAATATTAATAAAGAATTTGATTTTTCTTGATTTTAAAATGTATAATTTTATTTAATAATTTTTCAATCTCATTTCGCCGAAATCACTTTTTATCAATATTTTTTATCATTTAACATAGATACTACAAAGCATAGATACTAAAGACATGAGAGAAAAAATGATGATTAAAATTCACCCCATCAAATTACTCGATAATTATACCCGAGAGCTCCCCTTAAGACAGCTTGCTGTCTTTGGTTCCTTAACGCGAAGACATCCTGATTCCACAAGTTTAAGTCATAGTCGTTTTGCCAAACAATCTGATATAGAAATCCAAAGGCTGGACGTTCGACTTGATTATTGGTACGATCGTATAAGACAGATCCGGCTGGAATGGGGATTATATTGTTGTTTCCGTCTGTAAAAAAAATATTCGCAACATTTACGTTGGATAATTGGATTCTGACGCTGAGTTGGTTATGAATGTCGAAGATATAAGTATTATTGTTTAAATAAGAAAAGCTACCACCCCACAACATCTCGACTTGATCTTGTTCTTGCTTTGGATATTTCTTCATTGTGAAATGCAAAATACGCTTCAGTGAATAAAAAAAGATATTATCGAAAAATAAATTAACAATTTTACATACTTATATACCTTAAAAAGGTCAAGCGCGTCGCGCATCTAAAAATAGATTTGGCGGTGATGAGAACGTGTCGAAATTTTATTTGTCACTTACAAATATATATATTCGTCACCGATCACATGAATATGATATGACCTCAGCTAATCATTTAACAGTCAGTGATCACTTGCCGATCACTAGTTCATTAGTCACAGCTGAATTACAATGCATCAGCCGAAAATGTTTTATATTTTTCGTGGGATATGGAGACGTATTGTGAATAAAAAAAGTGAGACCTAAAGTCCCGCTTTGGTAAAATACATTTTAATAAATCGCATTCTATATGAAAGTTGTTATCAAGTATGCAATCTGAATTTCATTGAGGATGAGAATGCTACATTTATCAGGTACATTTATTCACGTACTCCCAACGATATCCTCCAGCATAAGCTCGGAGTCCTCGACACACTACACCGATATTTGACTGGTTAATTCCTGTTGTACGTTACGCTTCAGCTATGGATGGAAATTCTCGAATAGAACCATCGTCAGAAATCTGACTAATAGGACGTTGGTATCTATTACTATCTTTGAAGTTACGAAGCCCAAGACGTACAGCGTGTTGATTGTTTTCTTTCAGTGTGCACCATTCAAGATTAGATGCATTATTATTAGTAGAGTCGACATCAATAGGTGCTCCAAAACCACATTAAGGTTTAACAAATAAGGAATTAAAATTATCTTATCTAATAACGCCATGTCTTCAAATGAACCTGAAGGTTGCTTCAGAAAGTTTTTTTTTGGATTTGTCTGCTAGGATATTCGCGAGGTGGCGAACATTACAATCTACTAATTGACCAATTTGAAGATATAGAAAAGGGATTTATTTTTAAGAAATTTTAACAAAAAAATGATCAAGGAGAATTAGAAGGTAATCAATCTACCTTTGAAATACCATTTCCATCAGATATTAAGGGTGTAGCTGAACCTAATGCAGATATTCGTAAGTATATTTCAATGAGACCTTTAAATTGTAAACTAAAACATTTTATTTAGGAATCTCAACAAATGCATCAGGTAAATATTTTTTTAAATATTTTATTATTAATTAAATTTCTACTTAAATTTAATTTTTTTTTTAGCAATTTCCAAAGGAATATGGTATTATGATCAAGGACTTGGAGAAAAATGAAATAAATGAATGTTTTGCGAAATTTGTCTAGTATGTGGTATTAATATATCTGGAAGAAATATCTCTAATTATTCAGGATATAATACAGCAATTCAATCAATATTTGATGCTGGAAATGAAGAAGTTGAAGCAATGGCAATTTCAGGTCACAGTTCTTCAGCTGGAATGTGCAACTATCTTAAAATAACAAAGGAAAAAAAAAGAAATATTTTTAATTCAGTTATGCAAAGATTGACTGGAACTGTAGAACATAATGGTACAGACCCCCGCCAAAAGTTTCTGAACACCAAGTTTAAATGCAAATAAATACATCGTTATGTCACATGACCAAATGATACTGCGGTCATAAGAAGTTACGATGTTTGTTTATGTTAATTTTTAATAAAAAGCGCGTTATTTTGACTTACCTCAAAATAAAAACAAACAAACTCTTTCTTCTTTTCTCTGAAGATAATTGAAATAGTAAATAACAATGGAAAGAAATCAAGAATTAACTAATGAACAACGTGGTGCTATTCTTTACTGTCATCAACGTGGTGACAGTTATCAAACTATTGCAGAGACTGTCAATTGTGAAGTGTCAACTGTTTCTGACACTTTGAAACGATTTGGTGATACAGGATCAACCAGCTCAAAGCTTCACTCTGGAAGACCACCTCTGATTAAGGAATCTCAACGAAATCGGCTTAAGAAGCTTGTGACAAATGATAAATGAATATCACAATGATAGCTGTGATAGCAGTGAAATCGGTGAAAACAGTGATCACGATTTTCCTAGTGATTATTAGTGATGTGAGTTGGCGCAGTCATTTAGTTGCGCAAACGGATTATCACTAACAACTTCCTCCTCCAACATCCGAGCTCCTGCGATGGTACTAGCTTCCTGTACGAGCTGTTGATGTTGTTCACGATTAATACGAGATAGCATTCCTATAGTTGTATGTTTAGTTCGAGCGATTTGGTCTATTCCAATTAATTCATACAGATAATATACTCGTACAACTACTTTTCGATAGTATGGTGAGAGAAGGTTCATACATTGCGTTCTTTCAGTTAGTGACTCAGTTTTAGTTTCAATAGCCTTTCCTATATGCCAAAGGACTATTAATATTTTGACTCTATTTCTTAAGCTTTTCGCTCTTCTAAGTTGTCGAAGTAGAGATTTCACTTGTTGTAATGCAGTATCATTGTGTTGATAAAAAGGAGATAGAATATCTGGATAAAGTGGTTCAGTTTGTTGCAAGTCTGCTAAAATTTGATTATATAGTTCCATTTTAAATTTGAGGAAAAGGGGTGAAGTTCAGTCAATATTCACTCTATTTATATAAATTTTTAATAAACTTCCATTCACAGGAGTTTTTAGGACTTTCCCGTCTAATTCCCTAATCTTATAAGCGCCATTTCCAATTATGTCATGGATATAATATGGTCCTTTCCACTTTGGGTCTAATTTTCCAGACCACTGCTTATCTAACATTGCTTTGTAATACAAAACTAGATCGCCTATTTGATATGATACAATTTTCTTTAATTTTTCATTATGTCGATCTTTCTGTTTTTGTTGTTCTTTTTGCAAATTTTATTGAACCGTATTACGAATAATTGGCAGCTGATCTAATTGTTTTTCTGCATGGTTGAGCAAGAGGGGTTCCTCTTCCATTTCTGTACTATCCATTAGCAATTTAGCTTCTCGTTCATATACAAGGAAAAAGGGTGATATTTTTGTAACAGAATGTTCATTTGTGCGATAAGCAAAAAGTGCAGGGGCAATGAAATGATCCCAATCCTTTTGATGATTAGTGGCAGTTCGTGCAAGGGCTTCTATTAAAGTACTATTGAATCTTTCAACTAATCCATTAGTTTGTGGATAATACGGCGTTGACATTCTATGAGGTATTTCAAATTTTTGTAATAATTCATATAATAGTTGATTGTTGAAATGGGTATCAAGATCGGTAAGTATTTCTCCAGAACATCTATGTTAACAAATTATATCTTCATACATGAATTGTACAGTTGTTTTGGCATCATTATGCCTTACAGGCTTAGCTTCTGGCCACTTAGTTAAATAATCTATAGCAACGATTATATATTTGTTTCCTTTATTAGAAACTGGTAAAGGTCCAACATAATTTATTCTGATACGGTGAAAAGGTTGTCTAATAGGTATAGGATGTAGAGGTTCTATTTAATGCTCTGAAAATTTCAGTTTGGTTTAGTTCAGATTATAAATCCTAAAAATGCTAATTTGAAACTGAACCGAACCGTAAACCAGTAAAAATCCGAACTGAACCAAAAATTTCAGATTAATCCAAAATTTCAGATCGTTTGGAACGATCCTTTTATCGTTCTTTTAAAATGATAACTTCAATCGTTCCAAATGAACGATTTTTTTATCGTTTGATTGGAGATAATTTAATCATTCCAATCGAACGATTTTTTTATCGTTCGTTTGGAACGATAACTTCAATCATTCCAAATGAATGATTCTTTTATCGTTTGTTTGGAATGATAATTTGATCGTTCTAATCAAACGATTTTCTTATCGTTCGTTTGGAATGATAACTTCAATCATTCTAAACGAACGATTCTTTTATCATTCTTTTGAAACGATAATTTGATCGTTCCAATCGAACGATTTTCTTATTGTTCGTTTGGAACGATAATTTAATCATTCGTTTGGAACGATAACTTCAATCGTTCCAAACGAACGATTCTTTTATCATTCGTTTAGAACGATAACTTCAATCGTTCCAAACGAACGATAATTTGATCATTCTAATTGAACGATTTTCTTATCGTTCATTTGGAACGATAACTTCAATCGTTCCAAACGAACGATTCTTTTATCGTTCTTTTGGAATGATAATTTGATCGTTCCAATCGAACGATTTTCTTATCGTTCGTTTGGAACAATAACTTCAATCGTTTCAAACGAACGATTCTTAATGATTCTTTTATTGTTCTTTTGGAACGATAATTTGATCGTTCCAATCGAACGATTTTCTTATCATTCGTTTAGAACGATAATTTAATCATTCCAAATGAACGATTTTTTTATCGTTCGTTTGGAATGATAACTTCAATCGTTCTAAACAAACGATTCTTTTATCATTTGTTTGGAACGATAACTTCAATCGTTCTAAACGAACGATTCTTTTATTGTTTATTTGGAACAATAATTTAATCGTTCCAAACGAATGATTCTTTTATCGTTCGTTTGGAATGATAATTTAATCATTCCAAATGAACGATTTTTTTATCATTCGTTTGGAACGATAACTTGATCGTTCCAATCGAACGATTTTCTTATTGTTCGTTTGGAACGATAATTGATCATTCCAATCAAACGATTTTCTTATTGTTCGTTTGGAATGATAATTTGATCATTCCAATTGAACGATTTTCTTATTGTTCGTTTGGAACGATAATTTGATCATTTCAATCGAACGATTTTCTTATTGTTCATTTGAAATGATAATTTAATCGTTCCAAATGAACGATTTTTTTATTGTTCATTTGGAATGATAACTTCAATCATTCTAAACGAATTATTCTTTTATCGTTCTTTTGGAATGATAATTTAATCGTTCTAATCGAACGATT